TCGGTCTCGCACGCGAGAGCCTAACCTCTAGACCACTGGGCCGGCATCCAGTCTAACTTTAATTGACTTATGATCTCAACTATAAAAATTACTATAGTATCCACAAAACCCATTCCGATATTAATCAACATATCCTCACTAGTTACTGGCTTCAATAGGTATTTCCTTGAGTTCTAGCGAGAAGCAGTGACCTGTGGAGTTCAACTGGGTATGTTGTGAGATAGTAACTAACTGAAGACAGTGGTGTATGTGTCGCTCAATGTCGTGGATTAGTCGATGTTAGACATTAACACCGTTGAATGCCAACTCAGTGGTCTAGAGTTGAAGTGCTAGCGCGCGAAACTGATAGGACCGAGTTTTAAATCTCGTGATGCTGGATCGTGGATGCGCACTGCTGAAATTTTTCATAATTAGACGAAACAGCCGTCCATTGCTTCTAGGTTTCCCATGGTGGTCTAGCTTCAACTGATTCATGGTCTCAACTATTGAGATTACTATAATATCCGCAAGACCCCTTCTTTTGCAAATAATAAATGTTCAAGATTACAGTATGTGTTTAGTAGACTATCAAGCCAATTATGTATTTCGAAATTAATGTATGTGTTTTTGTAATTTGAAAACAAATTTGAAAAATACATGTAAAAGTATGATAAAGGTTTACTGTATGATTTCAAAATAAAAAATTTTATGCTACTGATTTTTTTGTTTTGAAAGAATATTGGACTTTTAGTAAAATATTCATCCATACATCATTCATGCTAAATAATTTCAAGACGTTTTTTAAAGATTTTGATTATGAAATCAAATATCTTTCAGAAATGAAATTTGTATCTGAATAATATAATAATAAGTATGTATATAACAGAGAATCTTCATAATGTTAGGGTATTTCTTTTTGGCTTATAGAAAAGGATAATATTTATATATTATCAGTCTTGAGATGGTGGAGAAGATTTGTAGCTCAGGTGGGTAGAAGACTTCTACTCGAAGTTTATGCTGATGATGTCGTTCAGAAGGACGATGAAAGCTCCACGACCATACAATCCAGCTCAGAGAACAAACCTACATCAAAATTTATCAGTCTTGACTCTCAATGAAATAGAGTTAACAGTTTCATTGTTGTAATACGATAACAGACATTCTTTTCTATATGAGCTTATCTACACGTATGTTGATAACACCTCGTATTTCTATATGATTGGAATAAAATGAAAATACACAAGTTAGTTAGATCATTTTAAATAAGTTCATTTCTAATGTCATACACTCATAAATATGAAAATGACTTGATTATGAATATCAAAACCAGTTTAGGTTTAATATTACTTACTTACTTACTTTCGCCTGTTACTCCCAATGGAGCATAGGCCGCCGACCAGCTTAGGTTTAATATACGTTTATGAAAATAATGATTTAGGTAGATGACTTTATTGATCAGTTCAGAAAGTGAAAAAAATGATTTTCTTATCGTTTTTCTTTTTTTTTCAACCAACTTCTTCGTTTCTTTAAAGAGATTTTATTTTGTAAGAAAGTAAAAAAAAAATTTCCTAGAGTTCACAGTACGGAAATTACTTAAGAACATTGTTTATGCTATAAATCATTATTAAAAAAATGGTACCATTTAAGAAGAAAATATGAAAATGTTTTCGGTAAAGGTTAGAAAAGTAGATAGAGTTAAGATGAATTCTGTTTTTGTACGAAGTGAAACAATGAATTCATTTCATTTTTCACTATAATATGGCTAAACTAATATCGGCACCTTAGTAAAATGAAGTAGAGTTATAAATTATGTTTGATATTACTATATTAACATGAGTTTCTATTAGGTTAACAGTAGTAGTAGTGTAAAGCCAATTTTTCATTAAAAAATTTATCAGTTTTCAGGGATTGTAATAGCATTTATTCATATTTGTGGTGACTTCAGGACGAAGAATGTATTTGTAAAATCAGTGAGACTATAATTCATGGGTGACCTTTGAACGACGCTAAAAAGACTTTGAGAATATCCACCTAAATGCTACAGCTAAATAAGGGTTATAAACAAATGTGAGGAATTACGACTAATATTTACAGTTGATAGTTAAGGTTAGAGATTAGATTTAGGGTTTTCATCACGAACTAACATCATCTGTAATGCTAAAACTTTATTTAGCCAAATTGATGAATAAATTTCGCGCCAATATCCATTACCTGTTAACTTATCCCTGATTGTTTCGTCCATAAATCTCCTAAAATCTTAACGAATGAGTTTGAATTAAATTCAACGTTTCTCCTACCAATCTAGTCCAAGCTTTTTAGTCAATATTTTTAATATTGGCATATGGTAAATTTAATTGTGCTGTTCATGACATTATAGTCGCATGTGAAATAAGTTATGGTAAGCAAACGTTCTATATTTTATTCAGTAAAATGGATGACAACAACTAAACAGTCAGTTCATAATAATTATCATGCCAATTGCTAAATACAACACAATAATCTGTACCTCTATACATGGGGAATCTATATTGTGATAAAATACAATGACGTTTAAAATTGTAGACGTCAAGTGTATTTACTACATTCTTTCATTTATTTTCATGTCTGTGACTTCCTTAAAACTAAAATATACAGTTTTCTTCAAAATCAATTCTCATTTTTCTGTATACAAAGACTTGAGATTTTCCTCCATACTTTTACTTCTTTCTATCTTGTAACTTGAAGAATATATTATACACAGAATCTGCCTTGCCATAATATAAATTAGGAAAATAGTGTGGATTAGTACTTTCTAAGACAATTTTAAAAGGCATATATTTTAGCCATACGCATCTCATTAAGACTTTTAAATAAAGCTCTCTCTGAAACAATAAAGGGATCAGTATATTTCTTGCCTTTATTCCCAATAAGAATAACTGTAATTTTCATTTTGAAATTATTCTATTAACAGACAGTTCATCAGGAGCTATATAAGCGTATGTATTTCTTTATATTGTTAGTTGCAAATCATTGTTATCGTATGAAAACACAACGTTTACAATATATAGAAAGTATTACGTAATAACGGTTTTTTGAAAGTCACTTTGTTGCCTATGTATTACTTAGTGATCAATAAATAAATATTACCATTTATCTTAACAGTAGTTTGAAGTATGTTATTTATTTATCTATTTGTATTAAATGGAGACAGTACTGCAGACATTAAATCTTATTAGACATGTCCTAGTATTTTACTTCATTCACAAGGGATACTGAACCTCATTAATATTTAGTCGATCATTTATTTGTTATGATTTGATAGACTTATGGTGTAACCTTAGTTTTCTATTGCAATTATAATAATGTATGTGCAGTTGTCAGTGAATTATTTCAATTATTAAAACTTAACTCTTTCGTGCTAAATAATTCTAAACTAAATGTCTGACTAATGTAGATCTATAAAGATCAGTATTCATCGACTGTTCAAAGTAGAATAGAAATATTTTCTTAGAGTATTTTAAGAATTCTTTTGTTTACTATCGTTGAATTATTCCATTCGTTATTGTTTACTTACATAAAGGAATACCAGCATATAGTAAATTAAATATGAGTCAGTTTTAACCTTATTATAATTTAAAATTGACTATTAGCTTAAACGATATTGATGATATATAGATAAATATTATGAAACATTTCCTTTGCATAAATATAAATGAGATCTAGTGATCAATTATGTTTGTGATAATGAATGGAATTACTGAAGTGTAAAAGTTAAATAATGGCCAAAAGACTCAACAATCTTAACTACAAACATACCATGAAACTTCGTTGAGCAATACTGTAAAGTGCGTGTTGTTGGAAATACAAACTTTTACAATCTCAATTGTCGGTACACGTGCCTCATATTACGTTCAGTAATCAAAAACCCGGATTCAGTCACATGTAGGGTTGTATCTACATACTGCTTGAGAGCTTTAGAACTATGTTACAACAGCTAGTTGATCCTTTCTGAATGTCAATGATTAACTCCTATTCTTTCTGAATGTTAACTATACTCAAATTAATTAAACTTCAAAATAGAAGTTAACAAAAATTATTCACTGACTGATCGATCAGTAGTAATAAATGTCACGTTTATCCTGTCACTGTTCTTAAACAACCTAAAATATAGACACCAGTTGAGATAACTAGACAATGACGTTTGTCGTATCTATGATATAAATTTTGATTTGTAATGAAATGTCTACGTTATACCTATTCTAACCTTTATTCAACCTATTTTCGGTTTATCAGTTTTTAAATGTATATTCATTTTAGTATCACAGAATGTAATGTTTTTATGAAAAGTGTTTAGCTGTCATAATTTCTTTTCTCACTACATACAAATTATACTTGTGACTTCAGTAATCTGATAAACTTATAATTGTGAACAACTCACGAGAAACGACATTTCCTATGCTGTTAATTAGTTTTTCTTAAGATTGACTAATCCAAAAATATAACATAAAATGCTTATCGATTATATATCACGGTCAATCACATTAAGTAGTTATTTTTCATTTTAAAGAAAAATGATAATAATCAGAATGGAGATTTGTGGGAATTGTATAAATTTTCGCAGTAGAATTCATGAGTTGTTCTAAACTGAAAACCTGGATGAACTGGATTCTCGTTTCTTTGTAGTATTAAACTGCTTAACAGTGCTCATCCACTACACAACATGTGAAACTCGATCTGTGGACCTTCGGTTTCCCGAGTAAACGCCCAACCTCATGACCACTGAGCTTGCATGCAACTATGTAAATGAGTACATTAGCAAAACTGATGAAACATATGAATAAATATCTAATAACAAATTGTATTGTAATTCGTGTCATCCAAATTTAGAGGTGCTCAAATAGAAAGATACAAAATTTAAGTGAATAACATGCGATAACACAACCTTATACATTAAAAGTGAGGCCTTATTCTCTTTATACTTCATGGTTCACCTGAGAAATGAAAACATCAAAATGAAAACATGATAATCAAGAAACAACAAACGCTTTAATACATTTATTAACATTTTAATATAATTATTTCTGTTTTTTTGCTTTATTTAAAATATTGTACAATTTTATCTTACAGCGAATGAAGATTTAGTCATAGATTAATTTAGGTGCCATTGTTCTTTCTCAACCAAAATTTCAATACTAATGTAGTCATATATTTTAGTGTGCATTACTCACAAGATTTTTTGCAAGTAATATATAGCCGAATGTGACGTCAAATTTACTAAAGTTATCAGATGACATGAAGAGCTTTAATGTATCGAAAGCACGATGTTAGCAGAACATTTTGAGACCAGAAGAGAATCCAATCCAGATAGTAGAACATGCGAAAGATGAGAATGGAAGATTGAAGTACTTTGTAACTTCTCACATACATTCTTCCTGCCTATTGTTGTGTTTTACAATATTAACTATATTGTAGTCTAAATCTAGATTGAATCAAACATTTAACAATCATTCATATTGAATAAATAGACAATATCGTTAAATTGTTGATTTTCCTCCAACTGATTAAAAAAAATATTTCCTATAAATGAGAAAAAAAACTAAGTTTGATAAAATCAAAAATTTCACTTAATAGCCCTATTTTTCTTTCACATAAATTATAAAACTGGAATGATTATCACATTATTTATTTGCTTTTTATTTTCATATTCTGATGGAGGGTTGTTTGTTTTTTCTCTATACATTATTTACATCGTCATGAAAGATAACTTTTTTTGGCTTAAACTTATAATGAACTTTTATACTGTACAGATTATATATATATGACATTTAATCACAGATAATTCATTTTTAAGAAGTTCACATTTTGCTTGTTTTTTCCCCCTTTTTGCAATCTAGCAACTAATCAGGAGCAAAAAAAAGGGCTCAATATTGTGATAAATAGAAGAATAAAAACAACAAACAAACAACTAAAAAGAGAAAAATAAATCCAGAATATAAATAAAGTCAACTAAAATCTGAAATTATTAATATAAAATAAAGTTTTGTTTAATTTATTTTGTTCTCATTGAATTTACATAATATTCATGTCAAATCATAAATTATCATATAAATAAGTAATGATAACCAATAAATTTATCTGTTTTTTTTGTAGAAATACATTGAGTTGAATTATTTATATACTGTGAATATCACTTTGATTCCACTGAATTAAGTAGTATATACAACAGGAGTAATAATTTTCAGCATTCCAATCTTAATATTGTCTACTCTGTTTTAGCAATAGGAGTATAATTAAAATTGATAATTTTGCTGTGAAATATTCATAATAGTAATGATATTCATGAAAGATCATTAGTGGAAAAAACACTTGAAGGATATAAGTTATTTTTCATTGCTTGACACACTCGGAAATTCTTCAAAGTATGTTTTTTTTAATAAAAAAATTCTCAATCTTCCACTATATTTTTATTTAAACAAATTGATACAGGAATTAATAATTCTTGATTTTGTATAAGTCTCATATTAGTTGACTGATTTATACAATTGCATAGAATTGTTGAAGTATCTGGAATGTTTTGATTAATTATAGAATTTTTATAACTAAGTAAATTTTCTGGATTGTCTGATATGAATAAGTTTGATTTAGGTTGATGATCATTAAATTTATATAATGATGCATAATTATCTAATCGATTCAAATGAATTAACCAATCAGAATTTAAACAGTTTTGTTGTTTTGTTGTATTTTTCAAATCATATTTATTTATTGATAATGAAGGTTTTGATTTCCAACAAGAATTGACATTGGATATTGGTTCATATTTGGGAACAGTTAATTTATATGTTGATTGAATTGAACTATTTTTATTCAAATATCTTTCTATCGGATAATTCTTATACATGTGATTTGTTTGTAATTCTAGGTTATTATGTTTATGTTTACATTTTTTAAAACATTTGATTAATTTTTGAGTGATTGAATTAGAAAAACAAAATCCACACAAAACAATTTGTATACCGATTAATGTAAAAAATGCCAATGTGGCTGGCAAAAATAAAAGTCGATATTCAATCCAACTTGATCTTTGTTTTGTATTATACTCTTGATTCCTCAATATATTTGACGAATCATTTAAATGATGTTGAATTTGTGTTGTTTTTAATTGAGAAGAGATTGATGTATTTGAAAATAAATCAACTAATGAGTAAGGGAAGAAAAAAAAACCATTCAATGTACACAGGTGTAGTAAAAAACTCATAGTAAAAAAGACTTAAATTCGTTGATCACCGAATCGTAAAAACCCTTCATCTAGTTCTCACTGCTGATCGAAATCCATTGAATAAGGAGAATATGATTATTCGTTTAGGTGACTCGATAACGCATTCACTATGTGAAATTTATGTGTCAATTATCACTCGTCAAGCTGTTACACCTAAAGGCTTAAAATAATTAAGTCTCATTTCATATTTTGATAAGAGTTGATTTCGGTTTGAATCTCAGTAAAGTCATCAGTTTCTTCAAGACTAGTAACACATCTCTCTCATAAGAGCCAGTATGCAAGAAATATTGATCCAGTGTATTTTATGATCCATTTTCCATAAGAATATCATTATATATAAAATTCACCATACTAAAAGTTATCATGTTTTTTCGATACAAGTGTATTTTTATGTGGAACATCCTTCAATGCTTTCAATAACTCTAATGGCTTTACAAAATAATAAGTTGTCACATAAAAACTTCCGTCACGCGACATGTTATTTTAAAGTGCATTTCACAAGTTTTCTCTGGCCAATGAATGTAGATTTAATAATTGGATCAGGATGGTGACCTAATTCTTATAACATTAAGGTCAAACGTTTTCGTAAAAAAGATTGAGAGATGATTATTACTTTTTATTCAATTTGTTGATAAGATAACAGAGGCTCACCAAGTGTCTTATCACTCCTTAATTTTGATATCATCTTATTTTCTAAGCCTCTCTCTTAAATAATTAATTATATCATAGTTGAAAGCGTGAGTCAATTGAAGCTAGACCACCATGGAAAACCTGGAAACACTGGACGGCCATTTCGTCCTATTATGGGACTCCTCAGCAGTGCGCAACCACGAACCCGCTCTCGCGAGATTCGAACCCAGGACCTACCAGTCTCGAACCGAAGCCCTTAACCGATAGACTACTGAGCTGGCATCCAACGGTGTTAATGTCTAACTTCAACTGATCCACGAAGTTGAGCAACCATTCACCAATTGTCTTCAGTGAGTTCCTATCTCACAACAGACGTGGTTTTGAACTCCACTGCCAGCTCAGTCCAGTTTTTCCAGGTTTTCCATGGTGGTCTAGCTTCAATTGACTCACGCTTTCAACTATGATAAATACTAAATCTCCACAAAACCCCTTCTGATAATTAATTATATACTTCATTCAGTTATGAGGTTTACTTTATCATCCTCAAATAAAGCATGACAGATGAGTCCACTTTAGACAATAAGGAAAGATGAATAATGTTTGTATCAAAGAATATACTTTGGTATTTCAATATATAGGGTTTTATTTAAAAAGCTTAAATGTTCGCATTATGATAAATTGAGAAATCAAATTGGGAAAATATGTCTTTTCAGTAATTTTTTGTTTAGCTCCAGAACATTTAAACCGCTGTGGTATTTAGTAATCTGACAAATGTATGCGAATTAGAGGATAATTATAGTGATATTATTTATAACATCATGTCAGTGTATAAATAGTGAGTTTAATATTTATGTCTATTGATCTCAGAAATAACTCAATGAATGATACATGAACAAGCAACATACATTATGTAAAAATTGATGCTTGCATGAACAACAATGAGAATTATATTATAAGATTACTAATAGAGATAATAATTACAATTGTTTGGGCTGATGGGTTGCTTGCTGCTATGACCTAGTAGGTAATGAAAGCCTTGAGAGGAAAAATGATCCGTTATAATATTCTGCATGCAAAAGCTTCACAGAGAAATTTTATTGGCTTTGCTTCATAAACAAGTAAGTACAGACCTAGATTCCTACATTGATTATCTGTATATGATGGCAAATGCTGAGCACTTGTTTATTTCTCATTTTGGGTTAATGAATGGAAACTGTTTAAATTTTGATAGATAAATGTTGTTTACAAACCATCGATACTGGTTAAGAAAGTGACTTTGGAATTCAAGTTCACTCTATTTATGTAGCTGTCTCCACAGTTGACAGTAAGTTTGTAAATGCTTATGGAAGTGTGTGAATTTCTAAACTTTTGCTTTTTTCACATCAACAGACTAAAACAGGTCTTAAATTTGATAGTGATTTTTAAAAACAGTATTGACGAATATTATATGAAAATTGAATGTATTTGCGTACATTTAAACAAGTGTTATTTCATAGCCCTTGCTTATTAACTTGCTTAAGACTATGTCTTTCAAATTTCTGAATGACTACTCGTTAAACATCAAAGTACTCATAAATGTCAAAGACATATTAAAAATAAAAAGGTAACATTTATATGGTAGTTTTAACTTGAACATTTAAAATTTAAAAATAGACAGCATAGATAGTAGATTAGAAAATTTACAATTGACACTTACGAGTACAGAAAAACACGTTCAATGGACATATTTTGTGGTTTAATAGAACTAATCAAGTGTAAATGTGACAAAATCTTCACTCCATAATATTCCAAACTATTGAAATTAACTCAACTTACGTTTTCTAGAATGTTTCTTTGTTTGCATTTCTTCAGTAGTAACAATTTGATTGTTGACATCTGTTTTATTATCAGACATTAGTTTAACGCTTAAACGAAAATTATTCTGTTGACATATCACAGATTGAGCTATTGAATTACAAAATAAACATTTAGAGATTATACTGACTATAAAAAGAAGTTGGAATTTTAAAAGATATACTGAATTCTCACCATATTTGCTTGGTAGAAAGAAAGAATTAAAGGAATGTCAATTAATGATAAGAAATGCAAATGAATCATATATTATCTCTCATCTAGAAGAATGAACCATAATATCCTATTTTTTATTAAATGTATCGTCTGGTTATGCATTGTTTATTTACATTCATTATTGATACATTGTATCTATACTTTTTTTAGTTTTTATTTATTGGGTTTTCTAAAGATTTATGATGATTGAACATGATATGAACATAAATAATTCAGAATCTTGTTTATATAAAGAATAACATTCTCAAATGTAGCTGTATAATCAGAGGAAATCGAAGACTATTCTCTAAAGTTGTTCTGTCACTTAAAATATATTTATTCATGGGCTACTAATTGAATTTTATAACTGTATATATAGGTAGGTACATGTGTGAAGTTTATGTGATAATTTGTTGCTGAGCTGACGACGACGTAAGGAATTTTCACGAAACTGACTGTTTCGGTTTTTTTGATTTTTGATTTTGTTTTGATACTGTATTTTTGAAGCATAACAGTGTTCACCTGTCAATTATGGCTATAAACTAGAAGTTTTCTTTCAAACAACAACGAAACAGGCATTCGTTCATCCTGGAAGTTATACTAATCAGATTTTGTATGACTTATATACTTAGAACAAGTTGTAAGTTATACAAATTTTCGTACGTCTACTTCTTCATTGTCTTGAACTTACAACAAAAATCGGACAATAGCAAACAATAATTTAGACATTGTGATGAACTGGACTGGACAAAATGGCAAAAATCACTTCATATTCATTGTTCGTAAAATTACAAACATTAATTCTGCAAAGAGATATTTCATGAAAAACGGTCAAAACGTATTCGTAGATGAGTAAAATGATATGATATAATAGTCATTATAAGAGGTAAAGTTAAAATTTCAGCAAGAAAAGTCTAGTGTTTGATGAGACTAGGACAAAATAAATTTTAAATACCGCCTAAACATTTCTCTTTTTGTAGAGATGGTAACTAAAATAGTTTTATAAACTTTATTGTTTCACACAGGCTGAATTAATTAATAAATAGTGTGTATTGTTGTCGACATTTGCATTCTAGTCTTAGTAGGTGATCTTTTGACAAATAATAATTCATCTAGACGTTTTTATACTACTGTATAGTGCGCTGATAACATTTTTAAGGCAATTGGGATACTGTTCACTTTTGTATAGTATGCAAATATCAGCTGCATTATAGAGGCACTGTATTTTAAATGTTGTCAATGAACGCTTTGTGAATTATGAGCCTAATAAACTTTCAATGTAATCATCTGGTCAAACGAAATCGGATTTTCAGAAAAAACAGTCCACTTCATCTAACATCAGCAATTATCTGAATGCCTGTTTCATTAATCCTTGGTATTTTCAATGCTCTCTGAAACAAAATTTGAACGTATTAAAAAGTTATTTGAATTTTGATTTTACACTTTTTACTAAATATAATAAACGCAATATGTTAGGATACCTAATCAGTTTTTTCACTAATTCGGAAACTATAACATTTAAATAATTGTCAACTAGTTATATTATTTTGATCAAAGTTTATAAGATTATTCATTTCCCTATGATTTTTATAGCAGCAGTCATATTTATTTCCAGCATATGACTTTGCAAAGGTTTTGACATTGAATCAAATTTATCAGTTAAGTACAATTTTTAAGTTTGGGTTGCTTGAATCATCCCATTTTCGTTTATGACTGCAATTTATCAGTCTCTTTCGGCACTGCCGATTTTTTCAATTTAGTCATTGAATCATAAGCATTTTCAAGCAGAAAAAAAAGATGACTAGCAGTGGCTTTCAAGATACACAGGATGAAAGGTGTGCCTCGAATTATACTATTAACCACCATCCATCTCAGTTATTTATATTTCACAAGAAATAAAACTGTCAATTTGACTTAATTTATTGCTTTCAGACTGATATCTAAAAAACAAAATTTATAATTATTAAATGAAAAATTGTGTGTTATGTTTTGTCAATTATTTATGTTTTTAGTTTGACAGTGTAAACTATATGAAGTCCATAAACTTGTTCGTTGACAATGAATAATTTGGTCATCTTATCAGAACAAAACTACACCTGTAAAAACGTATGCGTCTAGTGTAGTAAATAAGTCGATGAGCAAAGTTTAGAGGATTTTGGTTAAAGTTTTGGGCGAAAAAATGCAAACAAATCGGTGAACATATCAATAAATTAAAATTCAGGAATGATACAGATTTAGTATATGAATAGAAGTTTTTACCTGATATGTTTTTGATTTCAAACATCGACGCAGTAAATAGTGAAATTACAATAAAAAAAACTATTTGTATCTATATCTAATTTTATATAGTTGAGATCATGACTCAATTGAAGCTAGATTACCATGGAAAACCTGGAAGCACTGTATGACCCTTTCGTTCTATTGTGGGACTTCTCGAAAGTGCTCATCAACAATCGTGCTCCCCTAGATTCGAACCCAGGACCCATCAGTCTCTCGTGCGAGCTCTTAACCTCTTGACCACTGATCCTGCATCCAACGGTGTGAATGTCTAACTTCAATCAATCCACGAAATTGAGCATTTATTCACTCATGATCTCAACTATATAAAATTATTAAAATCTCCACAAAACCCCGTTCTGATATATCTAATTTGTCTTAGCAGTCATAGTTCATAAGTACTGTAAGGGTTTCTTCTCAACAGATAGTTCTATCAATTTTTCAAATTCTCAGAATCATTTTCAAAATTTATATGTATAACAGTGAAAGTTTCAAATAGGCGAATCGATTTCAAGACCATTAAATGAAATGAATTTATAAAAATATAGATATCATTAGATTAGTGTTTCTATCAGATGAAGAAGATAAAGAATCTTCAAATATTGCTTAATCAGATATTTTAAGAATTAATGTGTAGGGATGGCTCGTTGGCAAACTCAAGGAAGCCTCAAGAAGCTCAAAAAGAGCTGAAGACATTCCATCCAATCACCGCTGGAGGAACATTGCAGAATGTCGATGTGTAACTTCCCTATTGGATGAATAAGGATGACCCCCTATGTGCCTATTGGTTATCCAAAGTGACGATTTACTTTCAGCCAAAAAACTATAAATATGTGAGGTTTTTGTACAATATTTGATACTGTTTGGAAAATACATTCCTACTTACTAGTCTTCTATCTTCTCTCTTGCGATGTTACTGGTTCGATCGTTCAAATATTTTAGTAGTAGGCGGCATAGTAAGAATCAAAGATCTAGATATAACATAATGTATAGTCATTGGTTTTGTGAGATAGTATTTTGTTATTTTTTATAATTCATGAAGATCTTTGTTTCAGTATAAAACAAAACGAATAAAAACTAGAGATTCTATAGAGTATAGTCTACATTTCGTATGAATGTCTGTTATGTTATTTAAGAAAGCAAACCTTATCAATAATAATTATTTTTACTGAATTAAGAAATATTATTAAAATTTTATACTCACCTACGAAATAAACAGGAATTTCTGAATGAAAACTTGGTAGTGATGCAATTTCTGGGAAACGGCTAACTTTAAGAACGAATTCTGTAACTGACTTGTTTCCAAAACAATCCAAAAGTTTAATAACTTTAAGAGGTAATGTTTTATTACATTTTAATTGTACACGTGGATCATCTGTCTATTCATATGAAAAAAATACACAATATGTAAAGAAATGATATTTGGATAATAATACTTGAACAGATCGAGTAGGCAGTGTTTAAATATTGTTAGACCAATTTATATTCAAATATAGATTCATCAGTTGGACGGTTTACAATGATATTCATTCAACATCTCTCAATCTACGAATAAAATCAACTACTTACATTAATATCATATTAACCTGCATTCTTCTGTGCGAAATAAACATAAAACTACTTTAAAGTAAGTTATACAGTTGCCTCATGAGTCCTGATCCCTATTTTACCTTTCATGAAATAGTATTTACTATTCTAAGAGTTAAAATGTGTTAAACGAATAAGTTGTGTTTTTTTGAGACAATCCTTTATTAGCTGGATGAATGACAATCAGTAATAAAATATTGAAGTATTTCTTTAAATAAGATGTTGAATAAATTTCGATTGCAAATGAGAGAACTGTCGTCTAAACTCCAAGAAACAATGAAAGTATTTAATTCTTTTCATAATCTGTTACAGATATAACACTTACCGCATAAGATATGTCAATTTAGCACGATTTGACTGAGTATAAAAAGTATTCTTGTAATTCATAGAAAATTACTAAAATCTTTGTAATCGACGAAATTAAGTTGAAAACTTTATCAACATATAAGCAAGCTTCATATAAAATAGATGCTATTTAAAGATATTTTAGTTCTCATTTTACATTCGGATATTATATATTTAACCTTAGCATCGCATACATTAATTATCTCAGTAACGAAACATAACCACTCAGTTTAACCGAAGTATCAACATAATTGTAGACAGTATCGTTAATAAAAGATTTATTGACAGATTTCACCTGACAAATAATACGAAAACGACATGTTAAGCAGGTTACATTTATTTAATTATCATGAATAATTTTCTCGTCGCAATTGGGAACCAGCAATATTTATCTGTAGATATATGATGCAATAAGTTAAAAAATATGAAAATGTTTATCATTTATGTTATAACACCATGAGTACACTAATTGAATTAATACAATATACAAATACATATTTATGTTGTTACATGTATAACACATACCCAATACAGATTTTGAGAAAATGTCCGATTTTTTGGACAGATAAATATTAAATTATCACCTTCGGTAGCATTAATATCATTTTGATTTTCTTTGAACCTGGAATCATTCGAGAAAAAAACAATATTAGCATCTATTACAGGATCTAAAAGTTACCGTTTGAAAAATATACTAGACTTTCAGTTGGTTTTAGGTTTCTCATTATGTTTGTGACTAATCGTAATATTTTAAGTATACTGCATAGAATATTTCACTAAATTATCATTAGGTTAATGGGCATTATTCGGTCGAGTAATAAAATAGAATATTGGAATAAGAAAATTAATGTATCTAGAACATGTTTTACGTTAACATGTTTGATAATATAGTGTATAAAAATCTCTTAAATCTCCAATCTGATGGCATCCATTTTTAATAGACGCATTGAAAATACTTAGTAGTGGATAAAGTGTATTTATACAAAGTGAATAGTTTTCTTTAAACAGTTCGGATAAAAATCTTACTACTTAATAGTGTCAGTTATATTCATCCATATTGTTCAATAAACAAGAAGCTAATTATATATTCAAACAACATATATCGTCGAAATTCCTCAATAAAAAAGGAACCTAAGTAAAAACGGGAAGATTATCTTTTATCAGATAGGGGTTTTGTAGAGATTTTATTAATTTCATAGTTGAATCCATGAGTCAAATAAAGCTAGACCACCATGGAAAACCTGGAAGCATTGGACAACCATTTCATTCTATTGTGAGACTCCTCAGCAGTGCGCATCCATGATACTGCTCCATGGGATCCGAACCCAGGACCTATCGGTCTCACCCGCTAACACCTAAGCTATGGACCACTGATCCGGCATCCAACAGTGTTAATGTGTAACTTCACCTAGTCCACGAAATGGAGCGACACATCCACCATTGTCTTCAGTGAGTTACTATCTCACATGGACCTGGTTGAACTCCATTGGTCATGGCTTCTCACTGGTGGATTGGTTGAAGTTGGACATTAACATCGTTGGATTATCATTATCTTTTGTCTGAAAGCAATCAGAAAAATCATTCCTGAATCAATACAGACAGCCCGTCACGTTTAATAATTATTAAAGCTTGGAGAAAAATTTTAAGTTAATCAAGACAAAATATGTGATAAGAAAAAGGATGAGGATAAAATATATCGCGATGAGAATTATAAATATGTTTGATAATTTTTCAATTTGACCTGAGCTAAAATTTAATTAGACTATATGATTGTCAAGTGTGGGATTAGGAAACCAACAGGTTGTTAGTGTTTAGATGATTGATATGTGATGTTAACTTGAATAACTTTATATGTTAAATGAAGCTGTAAGTTTACCGATCGGAACAAATGTGGTCAACATGGGATGAGAGAGATAGTGACTAGTCAAAATCAATGGTTGGTTAAGAATTACGCGATTTGTTAAATGATATGGATTGGATAAGAATTAGTGATTAATGGTAGGTGTTAAAAAAGTGACACAGCTATCTTGGGGCAACAATATATCGTGTTAACAGTTTTTTGCATAAAGTAGCCGGACTACGGATCCTTCAAACGATTGAAGCAATAGCTATTTAAATCGAAATCCTCTACACTTTATTTGAATAAATTATGGCCTAGAAGAGCTAGGTCATCCTCATTATCTATCATCCTTGAGTGTTCATGAACATATGGTTAGGAAGAGGAGCAATGAAGTCTACCAGCAATGATATTCTTACTTACTTGGTAGATGGCGAACAACCCATTAATATAAATGAAGTCTTTTCAATTTTGTACCTGGTTCAAAACAATTTACCTAAAGCATAAAAATTATATACAGTAAGCCATCAACATAAACTCTATAAAACCTGAATTCTGTATCCTAAAAGGTGGAAATTCAATCAACTTGTATATCATGGCTCACGATTAGATCACCACATATTTTGAACACATTTTTTATTACATAGTCTAAATAGTTCATGATATTTACTACTATGGTGTCTACTTACAAATGTCTTGACTTAGAATTAATCATAACTTCGACTTATTATTATCATTATTGGTAAACTTGTCATCACAATATAACTCTATAGTTTTCATTTATTACTTGTAGTTATGAAATCTACTACATTGTTATCATTGACTCATAAATTGTTTTGATTGCTTTAATGTTTTTTATATATTCATAAAAAATGTAAGGATTTTACATTAAAGCCTGATGGCGATCTTATTAAAAGAAATCACTATTTTCATATATTTGTTGATTTAGTTTTCATGATAAGAATTTTTAATATTTTAGAGCAGCTTGTGGATCCTACTGCATTTCATGAACTCAACAAACTCTTGAAGCTTAGTGTATGTTTCAATCAATTGATAGTATTCTTAAAATACAACATCTTCTAATTTACTTATATATGGTTTATTTTTACCGTTATAAAACAAGAATTATGAACTTAAAACTATATAGGCTGATGATGAAGCGACTGAAAAGCAATTGTTCATAATAACAATGTTTGCTTCAAAATATTCTTTGGAGAGTTTTTTTGAATTGCTGAAATATAAGAATAATTATATCAACATTTAAACTATCGTAATAATTTTTTTTAAGGGATTCATTTTGTTTCCCAATCGGTTAACTTTTGTCTTTTTAAACAATCTAGTCACAAATATACTTGTCAAGGCATTTTATGTGAAGTTAGTAAATGTCAATTAAATGAAGGTCTAAGTAAGCAAGGTAATAATTGTAAATAAAAGAGTGAGAGAAAATTAACATCTTATGAAAAGAACAGTAAATTGTCGCATTACCCTAGGCTATAAAATAACTAAAGGTTTACTAGGGCAAATTCGAGGTTACGACAAATTGTTTTTTTACACATAAGGCGGGTTATGATTTATGAATAGCAAAAGTTTCCATAAGCCTAAGAATTCGTCCTTGATAATCTCTATACAATGTTTTAAAATCTGTATTGATATCAATTCTGTGCCTCGTTTCAGTTATGTTCCTTGCTTACGATGGACACGGTTGTCTACTTTCGACGTTGATCAGAACATTTCGCATTAACTGATTTTGGAGCTATATACATATCATAAACAGAACATGTCATTGTAACTTTAACAATCCATTTATCCTGACAGTCTTTAATTTGTAAGATGTAACTGACATAAACATGGCTGTTTCATCTTATTTTAACTACATCTTTTAAATGTGGATCTGGATGAGAATATAGAGATGAAGATAACTCATACTGATATTTCTAAAAGCTAGATACGAAACGTTGCGAACACAGTACTTTACGGTACGTAAACCTCATTTACAATAACTTTTTGCCTAATAGATATATTATTGTATATATATTTCGATCAAAACTTTAAAAAATTTCAATAGTATAAACTATCTAAAAAATTCATTTAGTAATGTTTGTCTGAATCTTCCCATTGACTGGAACTGGTCAGTCTCTTGTTGGCCATATGGGCATACTGTGTGTATTGCCTCGATATTGCCTTGATTCACAAGCGTTATAAGCAAAGATGGATAGTGGCTAGCAGTGGACGAAACGTGCGTCCTGGATTCCACTGCTAGCCGCTTTTGTTCTCTGCTTATCTAAGAAGTATTTGGAATAAAATTGATTTTATATTGATCAAATCCAACTACATCTCAAATAGAACATGCAAAAGTTTAGTGTAAATTCTTTTAATCTAGTTTCTTTACATTTCACAAATGTAATCCTTTCATACTATTACATTACAATACGTACTGACATTATTTTTTTCTTAAATCTTGTATTCTAACCATTAAAATAATTAGAAATAATACTTGGAGAGAATAACAGTTGTATACAATCAGTTACATTAAATGCTATTTAAGATAAATTATCAGTTTGACGTTTTTATTATAACTTCAACATTATCCACTCAAAGAAAAATGCATTAAAATGGATAAACTTAAAAAGAATAATGAACATAAAATTGGAATTTTTTCAAAATTTCTATATTTCCGCCATACAGTGTTAAAAACATTAGGGAAAGATTTACATATGTTTAGGGTGGAATATTGCCTCTCTTCAAGTTGAATAGCCTCAAAGGGTAACATGTTGTTATACATATGATTACATAAATCGTAATTATTTTCATAATGATAATATAAATAAACGAATATAAAAAAATTATTTGCTTAGTTATTTGTTCAGTATTTCATTTTATTCATAATTAAACAAACTTCTGTTTTAGTTATGGGGACATTGTGAGGACAAAAGTTCTTCTGAAATATTATAAAGTCGACCCAATAACAATTTATAAATTAAAAAAATAATATATACAGAATCCCAATACAGTGAATATATACTAAATAAAAAACAAAACATAAATAATGGAATTTTACCGAGACTACATATATATGAAGTAAACTTTCTGTGAACTGCAGATGAACGAGTAGTAGTTAGCTATTTAATTTGATAATTCAGTCAACCCACTATTTTATTGCAAAGCAAAATATCAAATATTAAAAAAATCTTGTGTATGAATGAACCATCAACGATTCTTCATTTATTTTATTAGTAAAATTTAATCGGCATGACATTTATTTATTAATATAATCGAAATTTGTTTTAGTCTGATGACATTTTGAATCAGCTCTTATATGGAATAATAGTTTGTTGCCATGGTGATTGTTGAAGTGTACAATCGCTTTTCGAAATAGATATTTTTGAATGGTAAGGAATAATGAATAGAATTTAGTAATTGTTAGTATTTGTACATTTTGATGTATTTAAATCTCGCCGAGAAAGTAACACTATTGATGCTTAACATTTATGTGCTGCGTAACAAGAACAACAATGCTGTAACATTTTTTTGAATTTAGTGATTGAAAATTATTTATATGATGAAAAATGATTCATAAAATATGTAGTTCTTTTTTAGTTTTTTAAACATTCGGAAAAAACATTGCACTTCATTTCCTGTATATATTTGTTAAATATTTACAAAGTGTGCTGAATGCTGGCTCAGTGGTCTAGTGGTCAAGCTCTTGCGCGCAAGACTGAAAGGTCCTGGTTTTGAGTCTCGCGAGGCGGGATCGTGGATGCCCGTTGCAGTCCCACAAAAAGACGAAATGGCCATCCAGTGCTTTCAGCTTTTCCATGTTGGTCTAGCTTCAAATGACTCATGATTTCAGTTATATAAAATTGTGAAACGTTGAGAACTATTTAAAACCCATGAGGATATACATATATGTTTGACCTTTATAAAATTTTACTCGTTATACATATTTACTTGGTGTTGTTTCTGTGTATTTTCTCATTGTCATTTAGGACTGCAATTGATTAGTCTCTTGTTGACGTATGTACATCCTGTGTGGACTGCATCTATATTACCTGAAGCTACAAGGTTTATAAGCAAAGATGGACAGTCATTAGCTGTGGTTTCCATGATTCACGTTTCGTCCTATTCGGGACTCGTCAGATGTTTGTACCTATATTTCAGAGTTGATGTTCACACATACATATTTGGTCTTAGATTTTGTGTTTCTGTCTAGCGTTTTTGGAGTGTATTGTGTTCATCGTCGTATTTTATACACACCTTTATGTCCTCTTGACTAATTATTTCTGAATCCTATTTCTCCTTCCTCTGAACAATGTAAATAACAGTTTGTACACTGACTACAGAAAATGACATCTAAAAAAATAAAAGCCTTTTAATGTTCTTCTGTTTCAGTTTCTTTTTTTTATCAATATAGGTAATCAATGGATGCGTAATAGTGATTGGCGATTTCATAGTATGATCTGAAGATCCCATGTTTTAGATTTAATTATTTAATGCGCTGATATAACAAAAGTGTTTTCAGGACTTTAAGTTTGTCGTCAAAAGATATCAGTTCAAGATAGAAACTCATTTCTATTTGAATTTAAAAACCCACAGCTTTTATTTCACTAATTGTTTGACACTTTTCATCTTGCTACTATCACAAACGTAAAACTTAAGGAATCTGAGTGTAGATTCACTTGTGTTATGAGTTACTGAAAAACTTTACTATTGATGTGCAATGTATTTTTCAAAACAGTTAGGAAAGCTTATAAACGTTTTGACAATAGGATTACAATCAGTGAGTATAAGTCTCAAAACTACAATTTCCCGAAATGTAGTACATGAAAATTGTTAAGTGTCATATTAAGGAAGACGAATTGTTCGTGTCTTACCTTTTAGAGTGAACGTAAGTGATCTGCATAAAAGTAACTGAGTAAGGTTGACTTCATTTTAAAAATATAGTGATTAGTAAATAAATAGAGAAAAATATCATGGAGTTTCGTACACAATATGTTAAACAACTTTCATTTTAGTAGAACAATTGAAGTTCAGTTATTCGCTATATTCATACTTGATTCACATTGATTTTTAGCTGATGCAGTAGCATATATACCGATAACTACTTATCTTTCTATCAAAATGTACTTCAATTAATTTCATTAGCCTTAGATTTCGGTTCTTAGATAACGTGATAAAGGTTTCTAACTTCATAACAAGAAAATTATTCGCATTAAGTTCGAGTTTTATTTTTTTCATTGGGCCTATGTTTATCAATATTTCTAAAGGATGTAGTCATGAATCTGACCATTTCAATAAATATTTATTTTACTTACCATACATTTAAAATTGCTCGGACTGTATAAACTAATGAAATGTATAAAATCGATTCTTTAACCACGATTAATAACCCTAGATTTCACAAACTATCTTCTCTCTCCCTTTTCCCTCCTTTAATAATATTATTATTGATTGCATTTCATTTCAAACTACAATTTAATTTCGATCTTTTTTTATCATGTTTTGATAGCCATTTTCTCGACTGATTTTTTTAATCCATTATTATCAAAAAACAAATCATGGATTATCAGAATGGAGATTTGTGGAGTTTGTAATGATTTTAACAGTTGAATTCATGAGTTGCTCTTAAATAAACCACCAGGTATTCAACGGTGGTCTAGCTTAGATCGACTGATGAATTCAACTGTTAAAAGCATGGATTATTATTTCAACTCCACCGTATATTTGCGGGTTTCATCAGTTTGAGTATTAAATTCCAGGATAGATCCTTACTTAATTATTTCATATTTAAATGAGTTATTTTGGCATCATGACACTGGAATGATTCAAACGTCTGTGTTTATAGCTTTACTTCTCATTAAATTATAGTAGCAAAATATTTAAAATATGACCACACATACATATAATGAAAGACGTGAAAATATTTTGTATGAAATAACCAACTCTCAGAATGAAAATTATCAACAAATGATTATCACTGGGTAACTCTTCAATGAAATATAACTTGCTATTAGAAAGTAACTCAAACAAAACAATCGGAACTCAATAACTCACTGTTATGGCGATAAATTTAGTAGTTTCAAGCTGATGCTATCCTCATGAAGCCTTAAAATTCTCTTTCACGTCTCTTTAGAGTGGATACTGTTAAGAAATACAAAACCAAGACACTACACATTCTGGTTGGCCGCTTGCCATCGATAATATCCTGAATGATGGCAACATATGACGCAAATATCTTCAAATATACTTTAAATATAAGAAAAAAGTTAATTTTACGACTTCAGAGTTTTTAAAAGCTGAGTAAATTTTGGTGTAAGTTGATTATTCACAGAATTAACATTAATCACAAATTGTCAACGCGACTTAAAATTAGAAAGATCCATTTAAAACATTTTTCAGAAGTTTTAAAATGATGGATTTGAATAGTAATTGCTAACGATTACTCAGCTTCAAACAAGACACAGAACATTTACCTATTCTTTCTTTCTTGTCATATGATTTCTATTATGTGAAATGCCCGTTAATATTTAACGAAATGCAACAAAATGATTATAAAAATAAATTTCTGAAATGAACTGAACTACTGATATTCGGTATTATGAAACAAACAATCATTACTATTCAGTTTCATAGTTTTCTTCACAATGAATATAGTTTTATATAAGAACTTTAGTCTAAATTAGAGCGAACAGTTTCACTGTATTTGTGCGCCGAGTTGATTTAAGACATTAAGTAGGAATAATAATATTTCAGCGAATGAATTTGAATTTAATCCAACGTTTCCTTGAAAACGCTGGGACCAGATCGCCAGATGAAACATTGGATTTACTTCAAATTCATTCGCTGAGATTTTACAATTATATTATTCCTATTTAATGTCCATATAGTTTTATTTAATGATTATCTTCTGTAAAATATATATGTGTATAAATATTTGAATTAATAAAACTACTTCAACTAACCTCCAATTACTTGCATCCCAAAGTATTATATGATCTTGTAGTTCGGCAGAAGTAAATTTGATCAAAATTATCACAGTTATTTCCATTAGACATGTCTTTTGCATTTAAACTTATCTATTATTTCCAGATGCATTTATATTCATTCATTTTCTTTCAATAAAACAAATTATTAATTGTTTATAACGATATAAATTTTAAAAAAGTGAAAATTATGATATCAAATGTGAATCAATGATTAATAATAATTAAAGGTGAAGTAATTATTTCGAATATGATATTTGTGATTGGCTGAAATATAACTCATATTTTATTGGTTGGTTTTTTAACCAGTATACAACAAATGTCAATAACAACTTTGATTGGTTAAATATGTTGAATTTATCTTACGTAAATTGGTACTATTTGTCATCTTTTTTTATAAAATGGATTTATTGTATGTAAACTATAATTTTCCGTCTAAGGTTATGGTCTGTTTTAATGAGAAATATATTATCGACAAAACAGAGAAACAGTGAATCTTCAAAGTCACTGCCGAAATCTCTCATATTCCATTCATATCATAATAAAAATAGTAAATTTTCGGCTTCTCATATATTTGATTATAGTGTTTCTTCCAATAAAAACACAGTACAGATAAGGCTTTACTACTAACATATTTTCCAAGACGTGATGTGGAATGCAACGGTTTCAAAAAATGCTTCTACAGAATAGACTTTAATTACAAAAGTTTACTGTTAGGTGATTTAAAGCTATGAATAAACATAGAATGTGTTATATCCAAACGAAGAATAAATGAACGGCAACTGCTAGGAACTATTTATGGACTGTTGTGATATCTATATTCTTATTGTATAACTATTAAGTAATGTGATTAAATATATATATATATATATTCCTTTTGTCATATGCTTCTATTTAACCTATTGACTACTATTATACGGTTTAATGTTCTTAAGTTATCCTCAATTTATTGGTTACAGTCTCTCACAATCACAGCCACTTTTTGGTTCGATCTTGTATAATGGTTATTTTCTCTTTTATGGTGTGATGTAGTCTGGCTTGCTTGTATATATACCAAGTATATCTGAAATATATGATTCATATAATGGAAGCTGATATTGGTGTTCTGGACTCAACAGAAAGAGCTAAGCAAGAAGGATCAATAAGGACTCTAGGCTTCTTGTACCGGTTAACACGTCACTGGTTTGGTAGATTGTGTAGATCATGTTCTGATTGGCGATCATATCAAGTGTTAAAAAACAAACGGAAATTCATAACAGAATGTGGTCAACATTATTTTATGAAAAAATGTTGTCAACGCTAACACAAAGAAAAGTTGAATAGATATATCGTTAGGCATTTGTACAAAATATAGAACAAACATATTAGACATTGAACAAAAACAACAGAAAACGAAGTAATTTGATAAACAAATTCTTTTTCTGTCACATTCGTCTATTTGTAGAGTCATAAGGTGTTAATTCAACAGCACCAGTTGTATATATAATTTTTTTTAAAAGTCAATCATTAAAAATGTTTTTCTTTAAGAATGAAAAATCTATTTAACAAATTTTAAAATAAAAGAATTGCTGGTATTCTAGTTTGGGACAGTTAAACATCTTAATGTAAGCTATCCTTGCAACACGGATGCACAAGCATTTGGATGATTCTGAATATCAGCCTAAATAACTAATTATATATAAAGTTTGTAATAAAGAAGCTCATTAGTCCGAATCACAGTTAACTCAACCGACTTTCCAGTTTAAAAATTATTGTTACATAAAACTGCACTATATTGCATTTACATTGTATTAGGCAGTTGCATCAGTCATTTCTATTGCGTTTTAGCACTAGAACATCTTAACTTCTCAGAATGTTTAAATTACAATCTGTTCGAAATTAATATGATTAATTGAATACATTAACTCAAATTATCAAATTATACTTTAATATGTATGTCAAATTGTTATATAGCAATATAAGTGGGTTTTCTACTTGATAATTATTTAGATAAAAGGTTTAAAATTAAAACAGAATAGTGTTTCCTAATTCAATTATGTAATTTTTTTTGAAATACTTCATAAGCGAGAGTACTGGGTTCGAGTCCCAGAGTGAACATCAACTCTGAGATTCAGGTACATCCAGCTGACGAGTCCCAAATAGGACGAAACACGCGTCCTGGATTCCACTGCTAGCCAATATCCATCTTTGCTTACCATGCTTGTGAATTAAGGCTATATCGCGTCAATAAGCACAGTTTGCTCATATGCCAATTACAGACTGACCAGTTGCAGTCCTAACACATCGATGGGAAGATTCAAACAAACAATATTGAATGAATTCAATACTTCATATCGTTTCAAAATTTTGTCTCTATACTCTTTTGAATGTTTATAAGCAATTATAAAGAAACAAACAATCAATGTTTTTTCTTAACTAATAGTTCTGCAGGTAGTGTACCTAGAAAGGATGTGAATCGTAGATATTGTGTATACGATAAATTTGTTCGTTAAAATGGACATGATAGGTAACATTGGACTTGATTTGTATAGCACAATGAAATCGGTTTTAGTAGTATGTTGTACATTGTACAATGGGAAATTTATAGTGTACTATTCAATCACCTAAAGATGCTAAAAACGATTCATGTATTATTATGACTTACCTTTTAAATTGAGGATTTGAATAACAGTTTTTTAGAAAATAAGTTTATAGTATTTTCAGTGATTAGTTTATCATTTGACGATGTAATGATTTAGGAAAGAGTGAAGAAAATAAAGTATATGTAAGTAGCTTGATTTGTTTAGCGTTATAGTGTAGTGGAAAAGGACTGCGGAAAGCTATAGTTATTCATTTGCTGAGTATTTTTAGTCAGTACATAATAGTATGTAAAGAAAGCTAACAAGCACTAGCTTTACATCGGAGCATAAATTTTTACTTCATAACTAGTCAACTTTTTAATCAATTAAAATATAACAGAGTGAATATCAACTCTGGGATGCAGGTACATCCAGCTGACCAGTCTCATAGAGGACGAAACAACAGTCCTAAGTTTCTCTGCTAAACACTGTCTAACTTCCAATGATGCGTGTGACTTAACTGCAATAGTGAGACAACCAGTGGAGGATGCACATTTTACAAAAGAGACTGAATAATTGTTTATCAACCATAAACGGGAAGTTTCGCATAACCAATAAAACGAACTAACAGATATTGGTTATGCTAATTAAGTTGAGCTAATCATAAGGTCTGCCATAAAAAGTACGTAGCTGTAGAAAGAATATGGAAAATGTTTTGAGAGTTAAGCTCTCACGCCAATAGACAGAAAGTAAACATTTTGGATGTAATTTTCGCCCGTAAACCAATGACTCATGTAGAAAATAATTCAGTACAAAATGAAAGCTGACAGCAGTAGACATTATCGTGTAATAAATATGGCGATAAGAACAAACTCCGGAGATGCAGTTTATAAAATGTATAATTTTGTTATGATCCAATTACGAGAAATGATAAAAGCTTCAGAGGAGGCTAAATTCATGCTTAACAAAGTCTTGTACAACAAGTCTCTTCTAATATATGAATTATAATTTTGCTAAGTATTACTTACCGTTGTATTGCACTAGATTGATCACATTGTGTACACTTTCCTATTTTCAGTTCATCAGAATTATATCTCGTAACATTTCTATTCATCTAGTTATCATATCAGACAGCAATATATACAATACTGAAGAACTAACAGTACTATGATTATCAGTTTTTTGCATTGAAAATAATTTTGAAGTCTTTTTAGACTTCGTGTTAACTACAACCTTTCTTTCATCGTTGAACATATGAAAACAATTGTCCGATGTCGAAAAGAATTCTCTTATCATGCTTTTCTTTAAACGTTACGGTGGAGCTAGAATGTTTGTTTTATTTTATTTACATACAAAATATTGCGCAAAATGTTATTGATTGCACTAATGAATTTGATGAAACGTTCTGTATTCTATTGTTCACCTTTTTCGTTGATACAATGGACACAAATATTTTACACATAGTAATTAAAGCGTGCCGTATATGCCATATGGTTTGGTTCATATAAAGAATATATTTCAGAACACATTAATAAATATTTATCCAAAACTGAAACTATGAAAAGATGGGATAAACACTATAATCGAAATTTAAAATAGTATATTCTAGAAAAAAGGAAATCATTTTATCAGATTATTGAATTCTCTTATGATAAATCAAGGTTAACTGCCTCCTGGAAAAAATTGAAGGCCTTGAATATGAATCATGTTAGTATCACGTATACAGAATTCTGTGCAGTTCCAGATTTGAGCAAAATAACTAAATCATCTTCATTGTTAAGTCATACGAATATAGATTTATTTCAGGAGTTTTGTGAAAATTATCCATACTCAAAACTAATCTAAACGAATTCAGCTAAAACTTGATCATCCATTTAACCCTATTTTTATTCATCTACAATTTACTGGCGCCTGTCCGTTCTTTGTCTAAAATATATTTCAAAATGTTAATGTACTGACGTATATATATCTAGGATTTAGAGTAAAACAAAATCCCTTGAAATCATTACGTAATGATCATAAAACAACATACAATTGAAAATATTATGGGTTGTACTCATATACAAATAAATAAATAAGATTGAATGTTGAATTTGATAATAGCAACATATGTTTTACTTTTTAAATCAAACTTTATCAGATTTTACAGCTGTTTTATAACATGAACATCCATATGCACAAATAAATATTACTGGTATAAATAAAATAAACAAATGTGTAAAATGATGATTTATGTTAGGATTTTTTTTAAATGTAAAAATTTTTTATGAAGTAACCTTGAAAAAAGTGCGCTTATTTTAAAATTTGTGTCTGAATTAGAAATAAGACATGTAAATAATTTGATATTCAAAAGAAATTTTTCGAATTGTTTGAACATTTTAAATAAGTTTGTTTTGTATTTAATTTAAAAATGTATAATGTACTACTCATCTGTTTTCCAAATATTCTAAAATTACTTATATTCTTTGGCTTTTTTTCTATTCTTATTGAAAAGTGTACATCTATCGAATAAATGACTATTATCGCAAAATACTTAAACTTTAATAATTTATCTGTTATAGTAATTAAATCACTTTCAAAAGTACTTCTCATTTTAATTTTATTGTATGAATACTTATGAAAATGCACAAAATATGAATGTTTTATTTATTATGAACTACTATATGTTCAATATAGAATCCTGATGGG